CCCGTCTAAGCTGTCAGTAAGATATCCCTGAGTGCTCCGGACTGTGAGAGGGGAAAGGCTGGGTTGAGGGACCACCCCCCCTCTAGGGCACAAATTTTCATGCACTGGACCTCTAGTCCTATATAATAAAAGGGTAATATGTAAATTGTCTGGATGGTGGAATGACTGATCACTATCACACATTCTTACCACCAGGGGGCAGACATTCAACACAGGAGCTGCCCCCTGGTGGTCAGTGTGCTTCCACAGGGAGAAGCCAGGCTCTTCTCTCTGTGCCTGCCCTTGGCCGTGGCAGCTTGGTCAGGCCCCCCTGTCTCTGTCTCCTATCGGGGCCTCACCTGCATGCACAGCCTCCTCCTGACCAGTCATGACTGTTACAGCATCCTGACTAATTGGCATATTACCTCTTTATATACTATATAGATTAGTATTCTTTCAGAAATTTTATATCAGTGGAATTACACAGGATGTACTTCTTCTTTTGCTCAGAATGCTTTCATCTGTGTATCAGTTCTTGGTTCCTTTTTATTGACTAATGGTATTCCTTTGCATGGATGTACTCCAATTTACTTATGCACTCAGCTGCTGCTAGACTTTTGGATTGTTTTCCATTAGGGATCATTACTAATAAAGTTGCTATGAATGTTCATCTAAAAGTCTTTGTGCAGACATGTTTTCATTTATCTTGGGAAAATACCTGGGAGTAGAATTATTAGGTCTTATGGTAAGTGAATGTTTAACTTTATAAGAAACTGGCAAATTTTTTCAAAATGACTGTACTATTTAACATTATCTACCACCACTGTATGTTCAGTTGCTCTAATTCTTGCCAACACTCACAAAAAAAAAAGTCAGTTCATTTAATTTAAACCATGCTATTGTATATGTAGTGATATTATGCTTTTAATTTTCATTTATCTGATGACTAATAATGTTGAGCCTTTTTTCACATGTTCATTGGCCATTCATATATCTTTTTTGTGATGTTTCATTTAAAATATTTAGCTCAATTTTTAAGTGGGTTGTTTGTCATCTTATTATTGAGTTGTAAGAAAATATATATATATATATATATATATATATATATATATATATATATATATATAGAGAGAGAGAGAGAGAGAGAGAGAGAGAGAGATCCTTTATCAAATATATGTGTTGCTACTATATTTATTCCAATTCCCATCTTTTCTTTTCATGGTCTTAATGTTTTTTTTTTTTTAAGTTTTGTACTTTTGTGTCTTAAGATCTTTACTACCCTAATATCACAAATATTTTCTTGTTTGTTTTTGTCTAAAAGTTTTTATAATTTGGCCTTTAAATCTAGGTCTAGAGTATATTTTATGTTAATTTTAATATTAGTTGTTTTTTCCCCCAAATGTGTACTAGGTTGTTGCACCATCATTTCTTAAAAAGACTGTCCTTTTTCTATTTAATTACCTTTGGTAATTAACCATATGTGTACTAGTATAGATGGGTCAGTTTCTGGGCAGCTTTATTTTGTCCCATTGATCTAGATGTATGTTCTTTTGCAAAATTGGTTTTGTTATTCAAAAATCCTTAAATTGCTATATACATTTTAAAATCAATTTGTTAATTTTTGCCACCAAAAAAACCCTGTTAGGATTGGGATTGGGATTGTGTTGATTGTATGGATTACTTTGGGAAGAATTGCCATTTTAACCATATTGGGTCTTTGATCCATAAGCAAAATGTGTCTTTCAATTTAGTTTAGATCTTCTCTAGTACTGTTTCATAGTTTTATGTGTCTAAATATTGCACAAATGTTGTGACATTTATCTCAAATATTGTATGTTTTTATGATACTATTATAAATGCTATGGTGGTTTTTTATTTCAATTTCTAATCCCTTATTGCTAATGTATAGAAATAAAACTAATTTTTTATATTGACCTTGTATCTTAAGACATTGCCAAACCATCTTACAATTCTAGTAGCTTTTTTTCATATTGCTTTAAGATATTCTATATATAAGAAATGTGGTCTACAAATACAGTTTGTTTTATATCTTTTTTCCTTCTAATTTATATCCCTTTTTTTCTCCTCATGCACCTAGTGCCCTTACGAGGGCATCTAATAGAATACTAATTAAAAGTGGTCAGAATAGCCGAAGCTGGTTTAGCTCAGTGGTAGAGCATCGGTCTGCGGACTGAAAGGTCCCGGGTTCAATTCTGGTCAAGGGCATGTACCTTGGTTGCGGGCACATCCCCTGTGGGGGTGTGCAGGAGGCAGCTGGTCAATGTTTCTCTCTCATCGATGTTTCTAGCTCTCTATCTCTCCCTTCCTCTCTGTAAAAAATCAATAAAATATATTTAAAAAATAAATAAAAAATAAAAGTGGTCAGAATAGATTTTTAGTCAGAGAACATATTATGTACTAGAGGCCCGATGCATGAAGATTCATGCAAGATTGGGCTTTCCTTCCTCTGGCTGCTGACACCGCCTTTGCTCCGGGTGGAGCCCGCTTCCTGCCTTCCCACACTGCCCAGAGGCCCAGAGCGGCTAGGGTGGTGTGGAATCCCTGTGTGGTTGCCATGGTGACGACCAAGCATCCTGTCCCACCTGCCGCTTGGCGCCTGTGAATGCAAATTAATCCACCATCTTTGTTGGGTTAATTTGCATACTCCTGATTGGCTGGTGGGTGTCGCGAAGATATGGTCAATTTGCATCTTACTCTTTTATTAGTGTAGATGTTTTCTGTACATTAAGATTGTTTTATGACCCAGCTATGATCTGTCTTGGTTCTATAGATGTCATTCAAGTCATGTTGATAATGGTTCAAATCTTCCATATTTTCTCTGATTTTGTCTAATTATTGCAGTTATCAACAAAGGAGAGGAGAAATTTCCAACAATAAATATAGAGTTCTCTGTTTTTGATGGTCTGTCAGGTTTGTGTCATGTATTTTGAAACTCTGTGCGTACAGAAATTTATGATGTGTCGTTTATGAATTGAACAAGTTATTCTATTGAAATGTCTCTCTTTATCTCTGGTTATATTTTTTCTTGAAGTCAACTTTGTCTGAAATTATTATAGCCATTCCAACCTCTTTATAATTAATGTTTATATAGACTTCCTTCTTTTACTTTTAACCTATATTGTTATAACGTATGTTTACATTTAATATTATTACCTATGTTACTGAATTTAACTCTGTCATTTGTCATTTTTTATTTATCTCTTTTATCTTTTGCCCCTCTTTTCTTTATTTCTTTAATTATTAAATATTCTTTACTATTTTTATCGCTACTCGTGACCAATTAGTTGTACCTCTTGGATTTGTTTTTATAATGGTTACTCTAAAGTTTCCAGCCTGTATCTTTAGGATATTACAGACAACCATCAAATGATATTATACCATTTAATTTGTAGTTAAGACTTACAGCACTATACTTCCATTTACCCTCTTCCATCTTTTGTGCTATTATAAAACATTTCCCTAAATGTTTTAACCCCACATATGTTGTTACAATTCTTGCTTTAAACAGACAATTACCTTTTAAATAAATTTTTGAAAGGAAAAAAAAGTATATCATTTACCTAACATTTTGGGCATTGTTTATTTCTTTGCGTAGATCCAAGCTTCTTTTTTGTACCATTTTTCTCTTGTCTGAAAAACTTTTAACATTTCCTGTAGTGCAGATTTACTCGTAAAATGTTTTGTCTTTTACTTCTTTGAAAAAAGCCTTATTTTACCTTTACTTTAAAAAGATTTTGCTGGATGTCAAATTCTTAGTTAATAGGTTTTCTTCTTTTATCACAAAGATATATCTAGTGATGGGAAACTGTCAGCTTTACATTTTCTGTGGGATAGATAGAATGTATCAACAATGATATCTTTATACTCTGAAATAAATATAAGTATTAGATGGTCTTGGTGTGTTTTACTATGCTGTTTCACTACCATATTGAAAAACATCCAGATTCATTATCCCTTAATGTTGGGGCACTTGCAGTTTAAAAAAAAAAAAGTAAGATATTGATTCAGTCCTTGGGTAGTTTTATATAGGTTTCTTAGTCACTTTATTTGGACTCTTCCTGTGTTCATCCAGATGGTGAAGCTATGCCTGCTGCTATTGGGGTTGATCTTACTCTTATTAAAGCAAGGAATGGTGATTAGTTGCAACTTAGTAATCTGTTATTTTTAAATAACTCTTGGTAAATAAATGAAAAAAAAACTTAAATGAGAAGTATTTGTACTCAGAAAAAGCACATATATATTATATATAATTCCATTTTGGAATAAAATAAAATTTGGAGCATGCTATATAAGATTTTTAAAGAATCAGTTCTTACCTTTAAAACAAATATGTAATTTTTTTGTGTGTTAACTTTTTTTCTGTGAAGTTCTGTATTCCATTTACAATGTTAGTATCTTCAAGACTAACAGCTTTGTCATGTGACTCTATAAAATATAAATTTGTTTTCTCAACTATAGTTTTCTGTACCTGAGAATGTCATTTTCTGAAGGCTCTCTATAACATGTATTTTCTTCCTTAAATGTCATTCCATGTGCACTCCTTAACCATAATTTTAGCCCTCAGGTCATTTTTTTTATTAATTCTTGTGAAACATGCCTTTACTGCTTTTCTGCCATGCCCAATTTTCACTCTCAGCACACTTTAGACATAAACCTGTTGTGTAATTGTTGGTGTAGCTATTTCTCTTTACCTGGACATCATGTGAACTCTTTGAGGACAGGAATCATATCTGGTATCTTTCTGTGTGCTCAGGACTCACCATAGGAACTCATATTCAAGAGTTCAATAAAACTACTCCCCAACCCCACATGACCACGAAGTTTTGCTCTTTCTCAAGGATTTGACAATTTAAAAGTTTTTGAAAATTAGTGAAACATCTCACATAACAAAACAAAACAAAAAAAAAATAATAAGAAAACAGAAGTGCTGGTGTACATTATTAAATTTCTGTTAGGACTGTTTTCCTTGAATTCTTAAACATATTTTTTGCCTTCTATAGGTGAATCCTTGAAAGGAAAGATCTCGGTCCAGAAGAATAAGAAAGATCCACGTTCTCTCATCGTGACCCTCACATTGAATAATTCAACTCAAACTTATGGTCTCCAATGAAAAAGCCACAAAAGCACAACTACCTTGCTGTTTTTATTGTGGGGGTGGGAGCATTGTGGGTGAAGGGGGAGGGGTTTTATGTGAGCACATGGATGATAGATCCTTTCCTAATGAGTCTCCTCTGTAGAATGGTGGCAGGAATCCAATGTAATACTGCCAAGGAAGGGAATCCACTCTCAGTGGTCCACCTACATAGCCACATTCTTAGAAATCTGGTTGGTGAGATTTAACCAAATGCGACCCCTACATTAAGTTTAGCTTTATTGAAAATCATTTAAATTGGCCTAAATATGGAACAGACATGATCTTTGTTATTGTTTAAAAGTTTCCTATTACAAATTTTAAACAGTACTTAGTTGTTATCTAGTTAATGTTTTATTAAAGTAGTAACTACACACAAGATATTACACATTTTATTGCAGATTTCCTTTCTGAGGAGGGGTAGTTTTTAATTGTATTTGTTAGAATATCAGTATATAATAGATTTAAGACCAAGTGTAAGGGACTAAAATACAGAAAAGCGCATCACACAAATCATATCTGTAGACAGCTTGATTATTTTGTAGTTCTGTAGTTTTCATTTTGTAGCTTCTCTTTGCAAATATTCTTTTTCCATTTATTTTTCTAGCATTGCCCAGGAAATCTAATTTCAATATCTTTATTATAGGTTTCACAAAAGATTTTAAAGTGTACTTATTTACTAATATAGTACCTTCTTCAAACTAGACTTTTGTGCAAAGTTAAATGTGTAACTTGATATATCACTCTCTATAATTGTGTTATTTATTGTTGACTCAGTTTGAAATGCAGAATCAAAAATATTTAATAAAATATATGCAACAGCCATTAGCATTATAAAATGACATTTCAAAATATTAAGCCCTTTTATAAAATCAGAAGTATAAAAAATTTATTAGAGTGTACTTAGCATACAATATTACATTAGTTTCAGAAGGTGTGCAATATAGTGATGTATAATAACATTTGTTATAAACATTATAAAATGATCCCCACAATAAGTCTAGTAAGCCATCTATCACCATAAAATGTTATGGTATAATTGACTATATTCCCTGTGTTGTATGCTACATTTCAGTGGCTTATTTTATAACTGGAAGTTTGTACTTCATCCCCTTTCATCATTTTCATCCATTCTTCCTGCCGCGCCACCCCCTTTCCCCCCCTCCCCCCGGCGACCATCAGTTCTCTGTATCTGTGAGTCTGGTTTTGTTTTGTTTTAGATTCCATATATAAGTGAAATCACATGGTTTATCTTTCTCTAGCTGACTTATTTCATTTACCATAATATCATCTAAGTCCATCCATGTTGTCAAAAATGGTAAGATTCCATTTTATATTTCTGAGTAAAATTTTATTGTGTGTATATATATCACATCATCTTTATTCATTCATTTATTGATAAATACCTAGGTTGCTTCCATAATTGGCTAGGGTATATATAAAACCCTAATATGCAAATCTACCCAGTGGCGGAGCGACTGGTTGCTACGATGTGCACTGACCACCAGGGGGCAGACACTCAATGCAGGAGCTCCCCCCTGGTGGTCAGTGTGCTCCTACAGAAGGAGCACCGCTCAGCCAGAAGCTGGGCTCACAGCTGGCGAGCACAGTGGCAGTGGCAAGAGCCTCCCACCTCTACTGCAGGTGGGTGGTAAGGAGCCACGGATCTGTAAGAGGGATATCTACATCCCTGCTGACAGGCAGACATCCACTGAGGGGTCCCGGACTGCGAGAAGGTGCAGGCCAAGCTGAGGGACACCCTCCACCCCCCAGTGCACAAATATGTCTTGCTCAAGGCCTCTAGTTGTAAATAATACTGCAATGAACATAAGGGTGCATTCATCTTTTTAAGTTAGTGTTTTAACTTTTCTTCATTTTAAATACTCAGAAGTGGAATTTCTGGGTTCTGTGGTAGTTCTGTTTTTAATATTTTGAGAGATCTCCATATTGTTTTCTATACAACAGTGCAGGAGGATTCCTTTTTTTCCATATCCTCACCAACACTTATTATTTGTTGACTTTTTAATAGCCATTCTGACAGATGTGAGGTGATATCTCATTGTATTTTTTATTTGCATTTCTCTGATGATTAGTGATGTTAGCCATTTCTAAATTGGATTGTTTGGGGGTTTTTGATGTTGATAAGACTTAAAGGAGTTGTTTTTTTAAGAAAATAGGGATTTTTAAAGAGGTGGATCACATGCTTCTCAGTTCAATCACTGGTAATTTGTTTTGTTTGTTTGTTTCCAAACAAAACAGGCAAGGCCACAGTGGTGAGAAGTATGATATCTGGAGCCAGTGTGTAGGTTGAAGCCTTGGCTCCAGGTCTCACTTGTTATGTGATCTTAGTCACATTTCTAAACTCTCTCTTCCTTCATAAATGTGCCAATACATGAGTTAATGCATTTTAACTACTTAGATTAGTAGTAGTTGACACATTGGAAACAATCCATGGAAGTTATAGTGTCAACATCATCATAGTCAAGAACCCCTCCAAAGAACATATGACATTTACATTAGTTCAGTTGAAGAATTGTCAACCTTATTAAAAACTACTACCCTAATACATGAGTGGGTGGAAAGATTACAACAGAAATTAACATTTAATACAGCAAAAATTGTATTGAAAAGAAATTGTCGTTTGGTCTTTATTAAAGAACTAGACTTAATAATTCTTCAAACAATGGTATTTCAGAGCACAGTCTCTAAAGTTATTTTTCATGAGTGTGATTTTCCTGTTCACTGGGTTAAATCAGCCAGCTTGTTTTCACCGTGAATTTGTATTCAGACTATTGCTGGAAATGTATGGTGCAGATAGTACAGCTCAAAGTACTTGCAATTTTGTTTGGGATGGCTTCATGAACAAAATTGAGTGGGGTGGAGTGATAAAACAAAAATAAGGAAGCCTGTAAGAAGTGTAATAGATTATTAAAGTAACCAAAAACTTTCTAATTTTTTATTTTTTCTTGTATGTGCATAACCATTGTTTTCTGCTACTTAAAAAGTTTTACCAAAAATGATTACTCTTCAAAACTTCTTTAATTGTCATGGGATTTTTATCTAGTGGCTCTTGATTGTTTTCTCCTAATTATAACTAGCCCAACTATAGTTTGTGTACCTAAACATTTTATGAAAATTTCAGAGTCCAAATATTAACTCTTCATTTGGAATTTCTGCCATTGAACTGTTGTGAAAAATAAGTACTTTATCACCCTTGACAAAGTAACATAATGTCCTTTCATGCTGTGACAGATGGGCGTTTATAGATAGCAAATTACTCTGTCCCAAGAATTCTCTTTTATTTCCATTAAGAAAATACATGTTTTCCTATTTTCCTATGTGAACATTGACATTATAATGTTGTAATATGCGCAGTTTATTCAAGTATAGCAGTCATCTCTATCGAGTAGAGCAGTATCTTCTGAACAGCGCATTTTGGAAGGAGTGTTCCAAGAAAACAGAACTCTGCAGGTGTGCAGCATTGCACAATGGTCCAAAGTAGCGCCGACTGCCAGGATCACAAATAAGTCATGGAGCTGTCATTTATTGCTTAAGGAATCTATGTTTGATGCGTGGGGCAAGTAATTCTGATCCAATCGGTGATAGACATTGTCCTGAAAAAAAAAAAAAAGTAATATTGTTCAAATAAAACAATGATAGAATTTTTTGTTAATGAGATTCAAATTTTCAAACTAAAATTTAGGAAAACGTGTATCCACCGCTGAGCTTGCTGATTCTTAAAAAGACTGAGATTAGTCATACAAGGAAGGAAAAATATTTTTTTCTACTCTTTAAGTTCTCTCAATATTAAGTTCTCTTAATAGAAGTTTTACATGATACAGGAGCCTTCAGAAGTAAATAAACACCTGAAAGCAGTTGAACCTGACTTTTTATGCCAGGTTTGCTGAAGAGTGTCAAGTCATGGTAAGATATGACAGGACAAAGGTGAGGTCGGTATAGTAAGTAGGGGCAAACTTAGCAAGGCCCGATCATTCAGATTCCTTTCTGTCCCTTCATTTTTAGAGGTATTCCTTTCCTGCTGGTGTAGGGAGGGCACCTCTCACACAGGGTTTTATGAGCGGCTTCAGGGGTAGGTTAGAAAGTCCTTCCTGAAGATGAAAGAAATCATAAAAATAGATCAAATATACGTTCTTATGGTGGCTGTTGAACATTGGATTCACCTGTTTACAGGGAAGCACTACGTCATAAGAAGTAAAGCAGAAAAAGGAAAGTTCATCTTTCATTCCTCACATTCCTTGAGTTGAAATATCCAGTATGCCAAGTTGCTGTATTTTGAGGTAGCGTGCTCTAAACCTGGTCAGCAGTAATAACAGTAGTGATTTTTTTTATCCTGCATGATAAAATGAATCAACATTTTGAAGATCTGCATCACTCAAGGAACTAATATTCTCCCCCTTCCCCAAATACATAATGTTACAAATATCCATTCAAAGTGCAAGATAAATTACTGGATTCTAATGAAACAATAAAAATTCATTGATAAAGTTTCAGGTTTCACATTGCCACTGGCCTTTAAGAAACTACCTGTCAAGCTTGGACTTAGTATTCAAGATTATATGAGGCTATATTTTCCTTATGTATCTCAACCAAAACAACAAACAGACTGAATGCAGAAGTAGTTATAAGAATGCAGCTGTGTCCTTTCTACTAAACCAGGTAATGAAGTGATTTGTTAAAAATGCTAAACACAACTCTTACTAAATATTTTTGAAAAATTTTTTTCATTAAAAGTTATTTCTCAATGAGATTTATCTGTCCAATTTAAAGTTGTAAAACCCACACACTCCCTCCCCCTTCATTCCCATACCTCTTGTTCTAGCACTTATTGCTATTTAGGGTGCTATCTGTATTTTACCAGTTTGTCTTCTTTGTTTCTTTTTCCTTCCACTAGAATGTGAGCTCCAGGAGGATAGGGATTTTTGTTCATTTTATTAATTGTTGTGGTGTGTACTGGCATA